CAAATAGCTTCATCCACATAGCACTGGACGCCGATCCGGCGCATCTTCTGTGCATTTCAACACCATTAGCTAAGCATTAAACGGATTCACAATGTGACTTTTAACCAAAATTATGAAATTTACGAAATTTTGTCTTGCAAGGGGAGTAATCATGCAACAAATAATTCACACAAATGACTTTTCATGGTTCGGCAATTCGACGAGATTGCGCCTTGAGGAAAATGACTGGCAAGCAATCAAGATCGTCTTGACTTTGACAGGCTTGCATGGTGTTTTTTTAATGCTATACTTGACGTCTCAAGTGTTTACCTCGTTAATTGCTCTGCTAAGGAGCTGTACGCCTTGGGTGGGGATTTTTGCACACAATTATTGATGCTACTTAAATCGTATTTGGGTAGAGTCAAGGTTGCCGCCTCAGTGCATAACATTGAATTCAGATTATTTTCGACTAACCGTTTAAATGCTTAACTTATTATCGTATCAGTCCCCAAGTAGGTTTCAAATACAAAAAAATACTATCGTAAAGAGAGTGGGAAGGGGGCTATCGGTTTGTTATGATGTTTCCATCAGGATGACGGCATCCAACACACTCAACTGCCCGTAAGAGAGAGAATGTGGAACGGTACTTTCTGTGTCACAGTACCCCCTTCAAAGGTAATTTGGAGGAACATTCGCCATCTGCAAAGGTGTGCATGAGTATGTGAGAAAAGTGTTTTTGATTTCTTGGAGAAGTGAAAAGAGTCATGCGTTTACTGCGTTGCAATTGGTTGAGGGTTTTTAAATAACCTACTTACGAACGGGAGTATGTCTTCTGACCATGCGATAGCAAATTGTAAATGGTGCGTTGTGATCTCAGTGAGGTCATTCATCATTGCTTCCGCCTTTAGCATACTTTCTCGACTCAGTCACTCTTGAGGAATTGGAAGGGTATACGGCGGTGGCCCTCTCAACAAAACTCTTGCATAGAGTTCGTTGTTAAGTACAGCACCAAATTACGATGAATTGGGGCTAGCGTCTCGAATGTTTAAGGTTTTTGACTCTTTCAGGTTGTCCTGGCGGAGCGGAAGGGCACCGATGACGTGTTCGCCATGAAGATTCTCAAGAAGGATGTCATCCTCCAAGACGACGATGTGGAGTGCGTAATGATGGAGAAACGAGTACTTGCATTGCAAGAGAAGCCTCCCTTTCTTGTTAAGCTGCATTCCTGTTTTCAAACAATGGTGAGTAGTCCAGTGATGTAGTTAATCCATGGGACTCCACTTTTAGCTTGTAACTTCCTCTCCTTTCCTTCCTTTGGGGGATTGTACTCCTTCAAATCTTTTGTACAGGATCTCACTTATTCCTACGTGAATCCTGAAACTGAAAAACTTTAGTCAAGTTTGGCATAAAAGGTAGCACAAGATTTTTTGTCAGATATTTCGTGCACAAAATTGTATCAATGCATCGGTAAAGTAGTTAATTGTTGTCCTTTTCCCCCACAGGATCGACTTTACTTTGTCATGGAATATGCAAACGGTGGTGATTTAATGTACCGCATCCAACAAGATGGTCGATTCAAGGAGCCGGTAGCTGTGTAAGCTGTCTTCTGCACCAAAATTAGTTTTCCATCCTCTCCCAGTCTTATCAGTGCCACTGTAGTTAGACTGTTTACTTCAGCTTCTACGGCGCTGAAATTGCAACGGGCCTGTTTTACCTGCATGCTAATGGAATTGTCTACCGGTAAGAGTGTGTAATTGAAATAATAATGTGTTTTTCACCCTGCAAAGTCAGAGAGCCTACTCAGTCCCCAAACAATCTCATGAATCTCTTTAAAACCATTTTTTTACGCAGATGGTGTTGCAATGTGAGTGACATCCACCAATTTCTCTTCTCTTCGTTCCTGATTTGCAGTCCTCTTGAAGCCAAAAGCGTCCTCCGGATGGGCGTAGTTAGTGTCTCCTCTCTCTTTTATTATCTTTTTTCTCACTAAGGCTACTGGGCTCAAAGACTCGTTTTAACGGAAATTGGAGGGCGGGGAGTGGGAGAAGGGAAGGGTCTTCAACGGATATGTTTATGTCTTTGTGTTCTGCTGGCCTCAGTAAAACACCGACTCAATGTGGCAGAGTGGTGTGCTTACTTGTGTGATAGCTTTGATGTAATGCATCCTCTCTTGCGTAAAATGTCCATCTTTTTTTGAGTGGTTCTGGACCTTCTGGTACGGTGTGCCATTGCTTCCAGTCACCAATATTGTGCCAACTTGACTGGACTGACTTTGAAACTAGGCTTTCTCCCACCAAACCAATTAATCCTGATTTGGTGTTTCGTCGGAGAAAGCTGCACTCAGACATCCGTTTGACAGGAGGTGTCCACCGA